AACAACAGTAAAAATGGGCAAATCATGTGTGTTTTATATAAGGTTGCAGTGATGCCTTTAAGAACTGCATTGTGGGTAGAAATTCAACATAGGCTACACACTTCATCTGTTGAAGTCTTACCTGCCAAACAGTTGCATGTGAAAATGTGCTTTTAGATGGAGGAGGAGGAGGATTCTAACCCTTGCAATGTGGGAGAAGCAAAAATAAAGATGCTGAGCTTTTCCTGCAGTGCTCTCCTATCTTAACTGCTTCCCAAAGGGCTAAATTTTTAATTGGTGAGGCTTTCTCCTTATGGAATCTCTGATCTAGGAAAAGATTTGCCTGTCTTGCAGTGTTTTAAGGCACAGGAACCCTGCTGAAAAAACATGGCAGCTCTTTAAACTGAAAGCTGAAACTGTGTGTCACTTGCACTGCTCACCTCTTAAGCAATGGTCTGATGTTCTTTGTTCAGTTGGTAGGAAAATCCAAGGTGTATCTGTATATACTACTAAAGGTGCGGTGATTGCTTAAGAACATTAGGAGAGCCCTGCTGGCTCAGGCAAATGAGCAGTGCTTTTCTTGTAGGAAACAAAGGTGCCGGCACTGTGTACCCTTGAGTACCCCCATGAAGAAGAAGAAAATCAAGGCCAATGACCCACCTAGTCCAGCATCCTGTTCTTACAGTGGCCAAACTGGTGCCTGTAGGAAGCCTGCAAGCAGGACATGAGAACATCAAACTCTGCTTACCTGCAGTTCCTGACATCTAGTATTCAGAGGAATATTGCCTGTTACAGTGGAGGCAGAACATAACTATCGTGGCTAACAGCTAATGACAGCCTTATCAATACGATATCTTCATTGTCATTGTCCCATGCAGAACAATGAAATTGAAGAAACTACATAAGACATTCAAAACCCCCTAAAAACTCTGAAACCCCATTTTAAAATACAATATACTCCTACAGAGATGCCTTATACTGCGTTTAAAACCAGAATTGCATTTGGGTAGAAACTGTTTCTCAGGCGGCTAGTCCTAGTCTTGTGTATATTTATGTGTGTCTATTTTGCCTTTCTTTACAGTATATTAATATCTGCATCAAAACTGTGACAGAATGCTTTTTAAAATCTTGGTCACCACTAAAGTTTTTGTAAGTGTTCCTGCAGGCTGTTTAAACCATTTGGTGTCATTAACCCTCCATGTACCTAGATCCTAGAATGCAGCTGCTTCCTTTAAACTGTTCCAGTCATTAGCTGGTACGTTAAGTAGCTAATGATGCTCTTACAGGATCTGCTGCCATCACACAGGTGCCAGGGAGTAAACATTTTTAAAAGGCATTTTTGTGATGTGTCAATTAAGAGCTCAAATTTGCAAATGCTCTCCTGAGTAAGTTTAGTCACAGGTTCAGACCTGCCCTTCACTCAGTTCGAATGTCTCTCTTTGCAGAATTAGGTCTTTAATGAGCACAAATCAATATCAGACATTGGGCTAAAAGCTGTGGTATGGTAACTTAAAAAAAATAAAATCTAGCAAAGTAGAAATAAATGGTCCAGCAAGTACTTAGTAATCTATATTTCCACTTGCTGTTTATAAAAATGATGATTTGCCTGTTGTTGTTTTTGCAAGAATGTGGATTTTACCCCTCCATTCTGTGACATCATTGTTTTCCCACAAATTGACCAATGTAAAAAAAAAACCCGTCAAAGAATGATGTTTACTCCCCTGCTAATTAGCTACATATAAGGAAGATTAATTGGATGTATGTAAAATATTGAAGCCTTAAGCAGCTTCTGGAGTCTCCCCTATTCTCATGGGGCAGGTGGAGGACCCCTATGGAAAAGATGCATAGCAAGGTTAAGTAAGCAATCCTCATCTTTCTGTCCACATCTGTCAGACACCTTTGCGGTCCTGCTGGCGCCAGGAAATCAGACGCCAGCCTCCAAGCACGGAACCAGAGAGGCGCAGGAGGCTGCCAATGTTGAATTTGATACCACAGCAGGAGGTGCCATTTGCTTTCCCATAGGAAAGCAATTCCACTCCTTTCCCTTTCATGCTCATATAAACAAATTGAAGATGATGTAATTGTTAAAGGCGTTGCAGTTTGGGATTCTTTTAAAATATGAATTTTCTCATTTGATTTCACTTGCTTCTCTGGCTGGCAAAGGCTAAAAATATATCCAGTGGACTTCCATATAATGGTGCTTAAGTTTGCAGCCACATAGCCTGATCCTGTGTGTATTAAGTCCCACTGAATTGACCAACATTTTCTCCTAATTGTGCATAGGACTACAGCTCTTGCATGTGTATGTACTGTTCCTAATCCAGAACAAAACTGCATACATACAAAGTCCCCTTCGCGTGTACACCCAGTAGCGTGGGAGCTGTTTCATTTTGATGCAAAACCACACCACTGTGGTATGGAAACATTTTAGTGAGTAGGGCAGTCATATGGGTCTTCCCCACCTTGTCAGCATATGTCATAGTGACAACAGGCAATAGAGTTGTTGCAAAAATGCTGTAAAACATCGATTTTACAGAAGGGCCACTTTGCAGTGCAGTACTAAATGAGCCAAACAGGAAGAGGCATCAGCCCATATGCAGGTATTTGAATCATGCTTTCTTTCTGAAGTGAAAGACCTTTTTGACAAGAGACACAGCAAACAAAGTCAGTGCATCAGACTAGGACCTAGAAGAGCAGGACTGAATCTCCACTTGACCATGAAGCTCACTGGGTGACCTTGGACCAGTCACTCACTGCCTCTCAGCCCAAGTTACCTCACAGAGTTGGGGGGATTAAATGACAAGGATGTACGCCATCTTGAGCTTCTCAGGGGGGGAGGCAGGATAGCAATACGGTAAAGAAATAAACTGCACAACCCTATACATGGCTACTCAGGTGTAAGTCCCATATACAGTGGTACCTCAGTTTAAGAACAACCCTGTTTACGAACTATTCGGTTTACGAACTCCGCAAAACTGGAAGTAGTGTCCTGGTTTGTGAACTTTACCTCAGTCTAAGAATGGAATCTGAATGGTGGAAGGGCACCGGTGGCGGGAAGCCTCATTTGGGAAGGTGCACCTCGGTTTAAGAACGGCTTCGGTTTAAGAACGGACTTCCGGAACGGATTAAGTTCGTAAATTGAGGTGCCACTGTAATTCAATGGAACCTAGTTCCATATAAATGTGTAGGGATTGCAGCCTCTTTCACCCCAAATGCCAAGTGTAAGATTCTGCTTTACCCACCTTGGGGCTGCTTTGCACATAATGGTAAACCAGAGTTAAATAAAGGATGACTTACCAGAAACAAGCAAGTGCACTGGTGTTTTTTGTTCAAATTGTGCCTGCCTTCTCATCGATTTGCCACACCAGGGGGACACAAACCAGAATGCTGGCTTAGTGTTACATGTGAACACTTGTTTACTAAAATAATAATAATCCCCAGAAGAACAAGCCAGTGTCCTCCCAATGTGGCAAAGGGAGAAGGTGGGGTCATTCTGATCAGCGCTTGCTCATTCCCAATAAACCAAAGTTTCCTAGCCCTTATGTGCAAACCAAGTCACAGCAAAGATCATTGTTAGTGTCACCGAAAGTAGGGCAAATGCTTGGTACTGGACTGCCTATTCCCTTACTGCTTTGACAGAGCGCTTCCATAGTATCCACAAAATATTTGCATTTCCTGAACCTCCAGCTGGCTGAGAGAATACGATCCATCTCTTTGTTCTCCTGTTTAATAAAAAGACATGAGTACATAGCTTTTCCCTGATATTCTTTGACATGCTGACATACTAGTTTTTTCCAAGCACAACCATATCCTAATGGACTAATGCTGGCTTCTTCTAAAAGCTGTTTTTGTTAACTATCTGGCCAGGCTGGGCCTGTGCTTGTGTAACTGTTTTTACAATAAATTGTGCCCACACTGCATTTTCATGTATTAATACTTCATTTTTTAAATAGCTACATCTTCCCAGAACTCCATCCTGAGGCAGCGAGCTACCAGTTGTCATATTGTTATGCTTCAGTCTTAGCTGACAACATATTTTTCAAATGTCCCTGGTTTTGCCTTTAAGTTTCCGCTCTCATTCTTGACCTAAAGTTGTCCCCAAGCAAACATTAAAATGTCAGATTAGGGGTGATGGCTCAGCTTTACTTCAGATGCCATTCCTTTCTCTTTTCAATATATTTTTGATACCATTTGTCTCTCTATTCTTGCTATTTGTTTGATTGGGCTTCTTTTTAAACTGATTTTTAAAATGTATATTAAATGTCTAGAAACCTTCTGTTCAGGGACATATGCTACTTACTAGCCTAGTCATCAATTAATTTTTAAACAGCAAGTCTCTAGCCCCTGTGAATGCCAAAAATAAATAAATAGCTACACTATCTGGTGCAGATTTTCTCTCCATCAGCCATGACTGGTGGCCCACCAGAGGCTTCATAAACCCTTGTTTTTGTTGCCTGCCTGGATTGCAAAAATTGGTGTGTGTGTGTGTGTGTGTGTGTGTGTGTGTGTGTGTGTGTGTGTTAAGCACCTGGCAGGCACAATATATATGGCTTGTGAGTTTCATTCAGCTTGGTGAATAACAAGTTGTGCTGGTGAAATTGCAGAAAGGCGAAAGAAGAAAGTGAAATTGCAGAAAGTATAGTCAAGGGAAAGTATAGTGTCCTGTGTAGCAGAATCAACTATGTAATAGAAGTACATGAGCATTAGCTTAATTTTAATAATTACAGAATTTTAACAATCACCAAATTTAGCTAATATTGGCATTTTATTTATTTCTTAATTGGTTATTTATATTTTTAGCACAAAAGATTAGTGTAAGCAGCAATTGTTTGGCAAAACGAATAACCCATAGGGAACTAAAGCAAAGTTAATTTGTGCTTGCATAAAATAAACCATATACTGTACAGGATGAGTTACTTTTGGCTATTTGAAAATACCTTTATCTTTTTACCCACAATGCAATGCTGTACACTTACCTTGGAGGAAAACCCATTCAACTCAGTGGTTCTTACTTCTAGATAGCTGGGGTAGCTCAACTGGTAAAGCATGAGATTCTTAATCTCGGAGTCATGCGTTCAAGCCTTACATAGGGCAAAAGATTCTTGCATTGCAGGGGGTTGGACTAGATGACTCTCATGGCCCCTTACAGTTCTATGATTCTATGCATAGGACTGTACCATCTTTATCAGAGGCTTGCCTTTCTTACTCCCCTTACAACTTTTAGATACTGCTTTTCTTCTAAAGAAAGCACTCAAGTAACTAATTGTTAAAAGGCCCGTTTCCAACACTTTTGCATCAGTCATTTCCACACCAGTTATTTGCAGATGTGTCAGCAGGCTAAAGTTTGAAAATAAGAACAATGTTTACTTTATCCTGATGTTTGTTGTAGGCATTTACAAACAGAAAATTCAAATTATGAGTGTGATATATGCAAAGTGGTTAAAACATTTGTCCAGGCTTCAGAAAATCTAGAGGTAAAAATATGCACATTCTACTTTAGGAAAAAGTTAAGTTACTATATAGATGGGGATATGGTAGCAGTTTGAAAATTCACATTGCAGATTTAGCTTATTTCCAAAAGCATGATAATACCATAATGATACCAGTGTCCTTTAGCAAAGCCCTGAAGCCAGCCAAACTATATCAGCACCATGGACAGCAGCTAATGTTTCGACAAACTGCCTAAGGCCTGAATGAGTCTTTTCATATACAGGCCAGATGTTCACTCTTTCTTAGGCCAGCTTAAGGCTAAAACAAACCTTTTCAACCAGGGTTTATCAGAGTTTCTAAATTACATACTGGGAAGAAATTTAATTGGTTTAATTAAGAAAGTTTATTTCATGGTAATTCAGTTTTGTTATGCTGCAAGATTTAATGTGTCCTCTGGTAGAAGGGATTTGTTATAAATATTCATAGCAATTTTTTTTTCTCCAGCCCAGCCAAAAAGCAACTGTATGGAGAAAATGTGAATGGCTGTAAATAAAAAATGTAGAATAGTTGTTTTAAAAGTCAGAAGGATGTCTGGTTTATAATCTTCCCTCATACTGCTATGCTTATTTGTTTATGTCGATATAATTAAATGTTATCTGTCTCTATCACTCTGCACTTACTTCATTGATTTGCTGTATATTCTAGAGAAATGTCATCAAGATGAACAGACAGGAAGGTTAGAAGCTGATTTTCTTCATTCCCCCAAATTTAGTCATTACTTTGCTGTTTGTTCAGTTTTTATCACACTTTAAACACAAAGGACATGACTGACCAATGTTAAGCACTTGTTCTCAGCTCTCCCATTCAAATCAATGAGACAATTGGTCCAGATTCAACTAAACAATTGCACTAGTGGGACCCAGAGCAACAAGCCCCACTAGCACAATGAGGCTTCCCCCTCTTCCCCTGGCACCCCCACAAATCAGCCTGAGGGGCGCCCCCTGCTTTCCACCCTGGCCAACATGGTGGGGCTGTGGATGCACTGGTGGCTGTGCCCTGTGACTGCCTGGCTGGGATTAGAATTGCTCTGCTCTTTATTAGCCATGATAGTGAAATCGAACCTCTGTGTTGAGACTCTGTATACCTCTGAAGAGCAGGTGTTAAGAACAAACAAAAAACCATGCCTTCGCTTTCATGCCTCACTTATAAGCTTCCCGGGGCATCTTGCCAGCTATTGCTAGAGACAGGGTGCTAGGAGATAAGAGCATTGGTTGAATGCAGTAGATCAGTTCCTCTGTCGCAGGAGGAAACATGCAGCCCTCCAGTTGCTGAAATACAACTCCTATTATCCTGGATTGTTAGTTGTGTTGGATGGTGCAGATGGTAATTTGAGTCCCAACAACCTCTAGAGGGACACAGGTTCCCTCCCCCTGTCTTATGGCTGTCTGTTATGTTCATGTGCCATAAAGGTAAAGGGTAAAGGGACCCCTGACCATTAGGTCTAGTCGTGGCCGACTCTGGGGTTGCGGCGCTCATCTCGCTTTATTGGCCGAGGGAGCCGGCATACAGCTTCCAGGTCATGTGGCCAGCATGACTAAGCCGCTTCTGGAGAACCAGAGCAGCGCACGGAAACGCCATTTACCTTCCTGCAGGAGCGGTACCTATTTATCTACTTGCACTTGATGTGCTTTCAAACTGCTAGGTTGGCAGGAGCTGGGACCGAGCAACGGGAGCTCACCCCGTCGCAGGGATTCGAACTGCCAACCTTCTGATTGGCAAGTCCTAGACTCTGTGGTTTAACCCACAGCGCCACCTGTGTCCCATATGTTGGGCCAAATGGGAAGATGAAATCATGGATATGTTAGTTGTAGGTGTGAGCTTTTCACTCATGTCTACACTGAGATATCCTGATGTAAACTTTAAAAAATGGCTGCATATGATGTTGTACGTGATAAATTTTCCCCTGTTGTTATTACTCTGGGACTGTGCACTCTACCAGCCAAATTTCCTCCAGGGAAGATGCAGTGCTGTTTGTAATTCATGCCAAACAATACCTACTCTTGAGCTGGCAGGACATCTTTTTTCTCAATTGGTTAAATTAAGAAGAACAATGATCTCTCCCTAGATTACTGAAATCCATAAATAAGCTGTCTTGACAAAGTATCTCTGCCAATTCATAGCAGCCAATTTGTAAGAGAGGAGATTGGATTGATGCAAAACATATTTTCTTTAAATCTTTGATGCATTTATATGGGCATTTTAGGCAGCATGAAGTTAAGACTGAAAATATATGTTCCTGATACCAGGTTCGTACATCTCACAAAAGGCAGCTTCATCCAGCCAATCTTAACCAGAAAATATGTGCCTGATTGACAATAGCCAAATAGAGCTCTCTTATTATCAGCATTCAAAAGTCAACACCGAAAAGATAACAGAGTAGGGAAATAACAAACCTTCTCACTCTGGGGACAATCCAGGCAGGGAGGGTAACATGAGTCAAACTCTTTGATAGTGTAATGCAGAAAACTTTTAAAGTTAACTTTTTGATACTGCGGCCAGCACTGAATTACTGTATGTGGGGCTATTTGTCAAAGCAAATACAAGGGCCCCATATTATCTCTGACCTATACAATACAGTCCTTTGCCAGCACTCATGCTTCAAGGCAGGCATACAAAAGTTATTCACAGGCACACATTTTTGAAAGCATTCATCCCAAACACTCTTATAAAAACAACCTAAGGTAATGATAGCTGATATCATTCAGGAGAAATGCAAGTACTACCGATAGGAAAAATGATTTAAAAACAGGAGAGACTGGAGTGTCCCAGAAAACTACAGGTCCAAGCAGAATAGGAAAGCATTTTTTTCCCCGGGCAAGTCGACTTGCATCTTAAAGATGTCTCCATGGAGGTGCATTAATGTGATCAGAACATTATTCAGACATTGACCTTAGCCACATTAGGACCCTTTAACCAACGATCAGACAGAGGTTAATGCCATCAGCTCCTTGGAGATGTCTCCATCCACCACTTACATACCTCCAAAGCAGTGAGATTGGTTGAGGTTATGGCTGATGAGGCAGGCACTTTCAGACTTCCATGTTCAAATGTTTCTCACCTTGACTATCTTCAAGTCTAATCTATGAACTTTCCATTTGAGGGCACTTAATATTTGACTTTCTGTGTGTGAGTGCTGCTCTATTAACCAAGAACTGAAGCAAGGATTGGACCATTGGGTCCATTGCTGCTGCTGCTGCTGCTGCTGCTGCTGCTGCTGCTGCTGCTGTTATCATGGGCTCCTTTGGGAGGAAAGGGGAAATATAGGTTTATTACTTCCCCCCACTCTGTTCTGCCTGCAATGTATGCAGCAAACAGTCTATGAAACAAAATAAATACTTCCAACTTTACTAGAAGTCTCCAAATTGATTTTATTTATTTTTTTTGTATAAAACTAATAAACTCAAAAGATGTTCACAAAGCAGATAACATTAGCTGGAACTATCTGGATTTACTACACAGCCCTGCAGTATGCAGTCTTTCCCATGCTGACTGCTACTTTTTATACACAGACTTTCTGTAATCGATTATTTATTGCTTATTGGGAAAGTGAAATTTGATAGATATTTGCTTCTTTGTTAGTTATACTTTTTTTTCCCCTACTCCCCCCCCCCAGCCCTACAAAGGAAATCAGAACTTGTGTGTTGCAGCAGCAAAATAAAAATAAATGCTACTTTGGAAATCCATTATTGGATCTCCTGTCTCTTTCTCTTAAAGCAGCCATGGGAGGGGTGATGAATGGATCAGGAGGGCAGCATTGTATACTTTTACCAAAGTAAATCACAGACTTTCTTCTTGAAATTACTATTTGCCCCATATAAGACAAAATATACTTGTATTTAAAATTTAGAGCAGTGGTTCCCAATTAGCTAATTACTGAGGGCCCCCTGTTTTTCAAAAGCCAATCCATGGACCCCTTACCTCTGTAAATTTTGGTAACTATGGTAGTTACCTCTGCAAAGCATTTTTTGAACAAAATGTGGGGGCCCTAATAAGCAAAGGATTTTAGGTATACTAAAAAACAGACTAGAGCAAAGTGATATCTGATTTTCAACAGCGTTATATATCGGCAGCTAAACATCAGGATATTTCTGGTATATCATGATATCTGAAATTGGAGATTAGGCATGGGGATGAGGTAAGGAGCAGTCACGGCTATCGGAGGTGCCTTGGAATCAGCTGCTCTGCTCTCCCTTGCTTGAGTAGCGATATATTGCTGTGTATTGCTGGGTCAAAATCGTTATTGCAGTGTGATATCAAAACCGATTTTGGCCAATATATTGAAAAAATGCACAGCACTAAAACAAACCACCATCCCCTCCAGACTGGCTGCCCCTGCCCTGCATGACTTCAAACTTTTCCTCTTACAGACTCAGCCCCCTTGTGCACATTTTCATTCCTGTAATCAAAGGGTGGCAGGCCATTCACTTGTCTGAAGTTTCTGGTCCCAGATTTGTGGAATGAACTGCAGGTGCCCATTTAAGAGTGGAAAACACTCTACATACACCCAAAGGCACAATGTACCTTTCTAATATTTTGTCTTCCAAGCCTAAAACCATGAGAAAGCATTGCTGGGGCCAAGGGCTTGGTGGCATGTTTCGATTGCC